TTTTAATGCAGAAATAAATAAATGCAGCATAAATGACAAAACATTGTAAGCAGCTCATATAAGAAGGCTGGCATGCTATTTTGAATCGAGCAGGTGTGGAGATGGCACAAACCCAAATTCTCAAGCCAAATCAACTCTTAGGCCTATTTAAAACCTGATGTATGGTTAACACATCTTGAAAGTGTTTATTGTTGTTGATGTAAAAAATCCATTGAGGCTGTCAGCTGTCACAATGTTTATCTGGATCAGGCTAAAAGTCGAGGCTTTATATGAATCAGCGTAACAGAGCGACATAAATATTCAAATGAAATATTTTTAATTATATATTGTACATAATATGTTATTAAAGATGTGAAATATTTTAATTTGTTTAATTTGACATTTTTAAATTGACATCAACAGATCAGTAAAGCGTTCACTTGAGTGTCGCCTGATGTAACTCTACAGTGTTTATTTCTGCAGGCCACATACATATTTTTCTACCTTTGGTTTTTCTGCATGTTCAATACCTTATCATACGTTTTTTGTTGTCTGCAGACATTCGTTGGAAAAAAACAACTCATCCAATTTGTGTGTAGAAACAAGAATATTTCACGATGACTCATAACAAGTGAACGTCGGATGCCTCGGGCTTTAATGTAGTTTTACTTTCCTTGACTTCCTTGAATAAAGAAGAAAACCCACCGCTTCCAAACTTAGTAACTCAAGCTGTCGCATTGAATTCTGTGGCAAAAACTTCTTTCTGGCTTATGTTTTGGATTTTCTTGTTAGACGAGCCCGATCACAGATTTGTTCATATGCATTACTTGTTATAATACATTTAAATGAGCTTCGGAGCGGAGGTGGTCCAAATAATACAAACTTCTTTAACGGCCACATCTGCTCAGAGCCACAGAGAGGAGCAAATGGCTCCTCTGTTTTTATGTTCTGCACTACATTAAGAATATTTGCACAACAGCGTCTTCTGAAGTCAGAAAGAAAAAGAGCATAATTCACTTTAGGAAGAAGCAGAAGGTAATGAAAAGTAATTCTGTCATAGGCTATCTGTTCACACAGAAGCAATGGCAATAAAACATTTAGATGTCTACTGAAATAGACAGAAAGAATGGGTCCAAGAAATATCTGTTTGTAAAAATCAGACATTGGGGCTTTGGGTGGAAAATGGCTAAATTTTCATAGATTAATTAGTCATTTTATTCAGTTAATGATGATGATGATGATGATGAAGATGAAGAAGTTTTTTTCTTGCGTAACAGTACGTTTATTGACAACATGACCATATCATCAGATCTTTTCAATCTTATATGTGACCCTGGACCACAAAACCAGTCATAAGGGTCAATTTGTCGAAATTGAGATTTATACATCATCTGAAAGCTGACTAAATAAGCTTTCCATTGATTTGTTAGAATAGACAACTATTTGAAAATCTGGAATCTGAGGGTGCCAAAAAATCAAAATATTGAGAAAATCGCCTTTAAAGTTGTCCAAGTGAAGGCATGAAAAGTAATTAGCAATGCATATTACTAATCAAAAATTACGTTTTAATATATTTACGGTAGGAAAAATATCTTCATGGAACATGATCTTT